CCACGCATAGCGGATGACTGGTTGCGAAGGGACCGTTTCGTTTTTGTAGGAAATCAATTCTAGACATTAATACAATTAGATTTGCTCTTCATAGACAAACTTGGGATTTGCAAGGCCGGGTAAACCCGGCTCCGGACCATGGGGAGTTTAACTCCGAAAGAAGCACTGCACGAAGCCTCCCGGAAATTGATCATAATCATGAATTTAATTACACAAGAGAGAAAATAAAAGAAAAGAATAGTCTTCTCTAATTTTTAAAGCTTTCCATTCTGTTCCTCCGCTTTCTGCCTCGTTCCTCTCTTTTCCAAGCCTCTGTTCCTTGTGAAAGGTCTCAGCCGTCTCAGAAAAATCCCAGCAAAAGTACCCTTTCTTCAAGCCAAAATCTCTTCCTTATATATCTCCAAGGCCACGTCACAAGTCTCCCCATTATTAAGGAATAAGTGGCCCTTTTATTTATCATTTTCCCAGCTCAACATCAGGCCCATTTCAACATAAGTAAATGCAGCCCAACATAATTTTCCCTGCCAACTTACATGAGGTGCATGGTTTATTAAGTGCATGGGCTTTACCAAACAACAGAATATCTCTGTTGCAGCAGAATATGGGGCACCCCGTACTGCACCAAATGTAGATTGCCGAGATCGCATCTTTGCCCTCATATCATCGTCTGCTAGAAATACTTCCAAAAATACTGGAAAACACTAAAAACCTCATCAAGGCACGAGAGTTTATCATAATGTCAAATAAGTCGAAAAATGTATAAATGCGAGGAATTGAACGTGTACAATTTTCAATATTAAACAATTAATACAAGCACGTTTTTCAACTAATCAGACTATATCAATTAGATTTTGTGACCATGGTTGTTCGTTACTAAATCATTGATTAAAAGTGATAAAAATTTAATGTCACCAAAAACATATTGTGATAGTTAATATCACCAGGGACGGAGCTAGGATTCTAAATCTATCCGGGCTAAAATTACTTTTGCAAAAAAAATAAAAATAAAATAATAATAATAAATAAATAAATAAAAAGATCTAAAAAATATGTATAAAATAAATGATAAATAAAACTTGTACCCTTCATTCCAACAAACTTTTTGATCTCTTCATTTTCCATCTACAACTTCTTTATCCTGCATAAAATTAACAAATGTTAAACATAAATATTATTAAACTCGTTATTTTATTTTATTATGAAGTTAAATATTTTTAAATAGAATATAAGATGATTTGCATAAACGTACACATACTACTATAGTTGCGATTTTTTGAATGAGAGTATCTTAACCATGGAAATTTCTGAAACCACGTGTATTGAAATCGACGATGTTGCTTTCCAAATTTAGACCGTGGATACTCTGTCAATTTCGGACAAGACAAGTATCGTCAAATCAAATTCTTAGAGATTTAGAAGGTCGCTCGAGATTCTCATTAGAAATTGTTGGATTGCTTTGAACAGTGTTTGTTGCGGAGTGTTTGTTGCGGTTGATAAAGTCACAGACAATGAAGAATTATCATTTTTGCTTAAAGAACGAAAAATTGTTTAGTTTTTTCTCTCTTGATTTGACATCGGAATACCTAATTAAAAAAAAAAAAGACATTAACACCAAAACACAAAATTATCATGACTTAATATAAAAATAATTTTTTTTAAAAAAAAATCATAACTTATTGTGAATATAAATCTACAGTCCTAAAAATTACAAAAAGTAAGGTAATTTATAAAGATGATTAATTATATAAACACGATAATTTATTAAATAATAATAAAGACAGGGGCAAGAATGTAAGTTCGGCACAGGAGCACGACTTTGCAGTGTACAAATTTGCAATTAAATTTGAATGGAAGCATTCAAGCTGACGACGAGGGTCCTCCTTCTAGTTAGATTAATAAATCTATGTCGTGGTTAAATCATTAAACATTCAAAGTGGGCTAGGTGGGCCAATTTGGGTCCCGGGCTAAAGTAAAAAAATTCAAAACATCTTAATACAAAATACAGTGGGTTGTGTTATACCCACCTGGGCTGTAGCCCAGGTATAAATAGATATTATGAAATTATATGTAAAAAAGAATTTTTAGATTATATTTTATTATATTATCAAATTATAATTTACACAATTCTATCTTAATAATATATATTTATCTCTACCAAATTTGTGCTACACATTCTCCAATTTGTCTTACATGGAGATAAAATTTTGGCTCGGGCACCAAAATTATTGTGCAACTACATTGGATCGATGAGCACACTGTCCGCATCGTATGTAGTGGATTCTTTCGCCCCAAATCACAACAAAGAATTAACAAAAGATGTGGCTGCTCTTAATATTGCTATTGATGATTTCCTACTAAATCACGGAGTGGCTCTCCAAGCACACTACCGTGGCTGCGACAATGTTGAGAACCATGATAATGAAATGTACATTCGGTATATGAAACACAATCGTCCATTCGTAAGGGCTTTCATAATTGAAAACTCCTTCTTTGAGATTAAAGGACCCAACTTTGCGAATCGGCTCGTATATTCAATAACGAAGGGACCGTTACTCGTGACCTTCAAATTGAGGGAGAAACTGTATTTTGCAGAAAAGGGTGAGGTAGTGGGCTCAAGCTGATTATGACTATGACACTGGTTTAGTATACAAACATAGTAGTATCCTTACAGGGTTCGGGGTGCGCGACAATCTCCTATACTTCGAGATCCTAAACAGTTGGGGAGACGCCTGAGCTAACGGAGGGTATGACTTAATAACTGTAGATGATATCATTGCAGCATGTGGATAAGATGTAACAATGAAGGTCCCTTCAAAGAAGTAGTCCTTACATATTTTCCAAAAAAAAATCTAAGGGACCTTCATTGCTACATCATATCCCCATGTTGCAATGAAATCATCTACGGTTATTAAGCCATATCCTCCGTCAGCCCAGTCGCCTCCCCAGCTGTTTAAGATCTCGAAGTATAGGAGATTGTCGCGCACCCCGAACCCTGTGAGGATACTATTATGTTGTATACTAAACCAGTCATAATCCAGTGGTGAGGAGTTAGGGCCCACTATCTCACACTTTTCTGCACAATACAGTTTCCTCTCTCAATTTGAAGGCCACGAGTAACGATTTCTTCGTAATTGAATATACGAGCCGATTCGCAAAGTTGGGTCCTTTAATCTCAAAGGAGTTTTCAATTATGAAGGTCTTTGCGAATGGACGATTTTCTTTCATATACCGAATGTAAATTTTATTATCATGGTTCTCAACATTGTCGCAGCCACAGTAGTGTGCTTGGAGAGCCACTCCGTGATTTAGGAGGAAATCATCAGCATTATTAAGAGCAGCCACATATTTCGTTAATTCTTTGTAATAATTTGGTGCGAAAGAATCCACTACATACGCTGCAGACAGTGTGCTCATCGATCCAATGTAATTGCGCAATAATTTTGGTACCCCGAGCCAAAGCTTTATTTCCATGTAAGACAAATTGGAAAATGTGTAGCACAAATCTGGTAGATCTAAATATATATTATTTAGATAGAATTTGTGTAAATTATAATTTGATAATATTATAAAAAAATTTTTAGACATAATATCTATTTATACTTGGGCTACAGCCCAGGTGGGTATAACACAGCCCAATGATTTTGTATTAAGATGCTTTGAAATTTTTGACTTTAGCCCGGGACCCAAATTAGCCCACTAACAAATATATTATACATGGAAGCCCACTTTCAATGTTTAATGATTTAACCACGACATAGATTATAATTAATTTATTAATCTAACTAGAAGGAGGACCGTGCTTGAATGCTTCCATTTAAATTAAATTGCAAATTTGCAACTGTACACTAGAAGGAGGACCCTCGCCGTCATCGAGCAGGTATATAGTAATTCCTAGTTTTAAGTAGTTCCTTTTGGTTAAGTTTTAAAGTCCCTGCTTAATATTTTGAAACAATTGACTGTGTAGGCGAACTGGGATTAATAGTCCGCGAGATGATGGTAGCCCAACTGCCCAAGTGAAAGTGATCGTAAGAGATCAAGAAGGCGGCCTCATACCAAAACATACAAAGTGGCCACTAATTTTGTTGCTAAGATCCCAACGTCAGCATAGCCAATGCGCTTCGTGGCCATGAGACCGAACATTTCAAGAGGTTGTGAGAGTTCTTGATATTATGTTGAGGCAGAATGCTGCAAAAAAGTGAGTAGCCCTTTTATTTATTTTCAAATTAATGTCATTATTTTTACGTGGATTTATGGTTAAGGTGCGGCAAATTAACAATCTTTTTTGTTCTTGTGCTAAAGGTGCTGTCTTTTGGTGCGGCAGTCTTTTTTCCACAATGAACCAAGAAACTTTGTGGATTTGGGGGTGGTGTGGTTGGGTGCAGGGGATTTCATTCGAGCTTCAGCAGCAGCAAATATTCTGCCGATCCACTTCTAGTATCTTCCGGAATTACAATCAGCACCGACTTTACAGCAGCACCCAAGGTATGTTCCGCAGCCTACATTGAGAATTCGTAATTGTTGGCAGTCTTGTGTTTGTTTATTGTATACAATAATGGTTTTTCGGTCATGCTACTGTAAAAGCTCAATATCCGAGATGCATTCCTTTAAATTTATTTTTGTGTCTCATCACTGTTAAGAGTTGGTAAATGGGAGGACTTTGTCCCTAGCAGAGGACTGTGGAACTTTAATCGTAAGGTATATCTTTATTTCTTCAGTCTCTATGAAAAGGTATGTGTTGAATCATGTTTTGATTAAAAAACAAAATAAAATCATGCAGCAACTGGTTGAGCCTGTAAAGCTCGAGAGGTGGGTCGTAGTGAACTTTTCTGCATGGTGTCGCATGGAAAAACTATGCGAGGACCTGATAAGATGTGGGCAGATGAAAGGCACAGTGAGTATATCAGCCATCGTTATTGTATTGTATGGATTATTATACAATGGGAAGTTGCATAGTTATCCTTCTCTAGACTTACTGAATATTTTCTATTCTGATTTTCTAGTCAATAACTCGACCTTATGAGGTGTTTCAAGAGAGGACAGAATATAGAAATGCCCCTCCTACTGTTAGGGTAGATAAGATGTTTGAGATGATCAAGTCACGACTTCCCGGAACTCCTCAGTTCATCCTCTGCCTTTTGTCAGACAGGAAAAACTCCGATGTTTATGGTAATTATTTTTGACATTCTTCAAGTAATTTGATCCATTTTTCTGATTTATTTATTTACTTATTTGTTTGATATGCAAGGCCCATGGAGGATGAAAAATCTCTCTGAATTCGGGATAGTGACTCAGTGCATTGCTCCCACACGGGTCAACGATCAGTACCTGACGAATGTTCTTCTGAAGATCAATGCCAAGGTAAGTTACGTTTTCTCTGTCTTGTGCATAGTTGCTGCATATTGTCAATGCTTGAAATTTAGCTCTATTTTACCATTGTTTATGCTCTTATTAATTTTTGTTTCTATATTATCCAACAGCTTGGTGGCATCAACTCGCTGTTAACAATCGAGCATACTTCAAATATACCCCTCGTTTCTCAAGTCCCCACGCTGATAATCGGGATGCATGTCTCGCATGGCTCTCCCGGTCGATCGGATGTTCCATCCATCTATTGCTGCTGTATGTCATTTTCTTTAAACCTGATGCCCATCAGCCCATCAGCCCATCATTTTTTTTTTTCCAAAAGTGTACACTATATAATACTCAATTATTAATTTATTATAAAATTTATAGTCATATAATATTATTATTATTTATAAAAGTTATAGAAGTAGTCTATTGCAAATGCAGCTGGAAGAGTCATTGTTGACAATTCTCCTGGCATAGTGTTAATAATGGACTAGATCAAAATGGCTCAATTAAACTCTATTAGTGAAGTTTCTAGAAAAAAAAAAAAAATATCAAACGACGCAATGCTCCTTGGGTTGCTATGGAAACAACTTCCTTGTATAATTACAAGAGTAAGGTCTGCGTACAATTGACCCCCAGACCCCAACCTGTTGGGAATATATTGGGTATGTTGTTGTTTTTGTTGTATAAAAGTTATAGATGTAGTATTTTTCTTATTAATTTATGTAATGAAATTCGAAATAAAATTTTGTGTATAAATGTTTACAAAATATAGAGACACGTTTTTTTAGAATTCAATTTTCTCATAAAAATTTGAAAAAAAAAAAAATTGATTTAGCAATTGACAAAAAAAAAAATCCCATACATAATTAAGAGATTTTTTCTAATTTTCATCCTAAGGTTTTACAGTTTATTTAACATGCCATGCAATAGAAAAATATTTTACAATAAGTTCATTATAGAAACATATTAAAAAAAAAAAGTGATAAAATAATTATTTTTTTTTTTTTCGACTGGGTGGTATCCCCACATTCATCCGAGGGTGCCCCCCCAACGGGGTACGGGCCTAACATGCTACGGGATTCACGCCCCAGAGAGGCGGGACTAATCCACCCAGGAGAAGCAGGGTGCCCCATCCCCACTCTCCACGGTAGTAGGGATCGATCCCTCAACCTCTGCCTTTAACATGACTTTATCACTCCAGCAGGTGCCAGTGGACCTCACGCCCCTGAGGCATAAAATCATTATCATAATTGATAATAATATACAAATAAATAACATGTGAAAATTTTAAAGCATATTTAATGTATTTTAATTTATTATCTAGTCATCAGTAAAATTATTTAATGATGTGATCATTATCTCTTAAAGAATAAATAATATTAAATTTTAAAAAAATTTATTTGTTTTTATGTACTCAAATAAAGGTTAAAGGTATTATCGACAAATATGAATTATAATGGATATCAGTAAAATCATTGCAGAAGTTAATAAAATTATATAAGGAAAGAATACTTTTTATCATATCCGAATAGGAAATCTATCTATATCTATATCTATATAAAGAGACAACTTATTTACCAAAAATGGTAGCAAAAAAATAGGTTAGCATTTAATGCTAACTTATAAATAGTAAGTTTCATTAATTTTATTATTATTTTCTTTAAAAATCATACAAGATTAAATATTAACTTCATTTTCGGGCTTTAGTTCATTTTATTATTTAAAAAATCTGGCTAATATATTTTAAGTGTGCATGTTTTTATTTTTATTTTTTCTTTAGAAATAAGGAACAACATCAAAATCTCGGTCTCTATATTTATAAAATCTTAATTTAAAATACAACAAAACTTTTAGAATCTCGATCTTTATATTTGTGACTTTCAAAACAAATATTGAATGCTAAAAATATTCTTTAAATTGATAATCGATCAATTAATATTAATTTTTTGAAAATTGCTATGTTATTTTTTTTATTAATATGCATAGTAAAAATAATTAATTCATCTTTAGATATATAATTTATAATCTTAATATAGTATTCATTTGGTGGACATTTATAATACGAATCATAAATTTTTTTTTTATTTCATAAAATTAAATATATTTACAAGCAATGAGGAAATTTCTTTGGATCGATCGGGTGATTGAATTAGGGTATTGCCAGGTTGATTGAATTTCTTTTAGTTTTAGGTGATATAAAATAGTCAAAAAACTTGACACAACTTGGTTGGTCCTAGGTGCCTAAGTTAAGTATCAGTTTGACCAGACCAAATCGTTTATTGAACCTAAATATAAATTTTAATATTGAAAAAACTTTATTACGTGAATGTGAGGTAGTCCAAACTTCAAATAATCATATTAATAATACTTTTATGACAACATGTTTAATAATTTATATATATATATCATATTAGTAATATTTATGTGAATAAAATAACATTTTATTATATTTTTTATTAATGTACAATAAATGTAAGGTTTTCAGAACCGGACCGTCATCGAAATGATCCAGTTATTTTATTAAATCACTTGTGGTTTCTTCAGATCTTAATTTATAAACCTTTTAATATACATATATAGAATTTTTTGGTAATAAATTTAAATAAAGTGTTACTTAAATATCTGAACAATTTATAAATTCAATTATTTAAATTAATTGATAAACAATTTATAAATCTCTACTTTATTTAAATGTGTAATTTTATTTACACTAATTTTAAATGTAGCAAAATTAATTTAGAAAATTGTATCGATCCTACCAGTCCAATCGATTGTTGTTGATGGATTCAATAGCAAATATTTTATTCAAGCGAACTATAAACCGGTTCTCGATCCATCCGGTCCGACTGTGTCCAACCCGGTTCAATTTAAAACAATGGGTAGATCATGATCAATGTTATTTATATATTTAATTTATAATACAATCGTAATATTATTTTTCTGTGCATCGCATGAGCCACTCCCTAGTGTATATATACAAGCAATTAATGAATATAGTAAAAGAATTTCAAATAAAGTATGCATTAAATGTGGGTTGACTTTTCTTGTTACTATTTTTGGTAAATAATATGCCTTTATATGTATATACAGGGTGTGGTTCCAATAAAAACCCTTCTTAGTGTATGAACTAAGAACCCTTTATCACATCATAATCAACTGTCTAGATTGAAGGACAAAATTATATAATGGCAAGATATAAAAGTAATATAGGAAAGTCAGATTATTAGAAATCCTATCTTAGTTGCATCTTCATATTTTAGGGATGTCATATTAGCTCATAGAAGGAAACTCACATTCATAAAAATAAATTGATATACTACAAAAAATGATGATGCTATTTTAGCTTATTGTGATGCTAAAAATCTTATTTGACATTGCCATATTATTATTATTATTATTATTATTATTATTATTATTATTATTATTATTATTATTATTATTATTATTATTATTATTATTATTATTATTATTATTATTTTAAACGACTTGTAATGCTAATGTTGCCCATTATAATGTTGTTATATATTGATTTCATTGCAATATCCGATTCTTTATTATGCTAATTTATGTATCATCTTTTAATATAAAAATGTTAATAGGAATACAACTTGTGATGTAGTTGAATAATAACTAAGTTTTAATTTAAGAAACACAAAAAAAATGCTATTTTTTATTGCACATAATGCTACTTTTAATTATGTTTGTTGTTATTATTAATAATATCTAACAAAAAAAACAACAATACTATATATATAACTAATATGTATATATAATAGCAACGTATTATATTAAAAATAACATCATACATAACTAAAAGTAGCATCATATAATGTTCTTATGATTATGGAACCAATAATTATTGTTACTAATATTAAAAATCTACCCTTAACAACTAAAATTAGATGATATATTAATTCGAATAATTTTGACACTATCCATTCAAATTTTGACTATTATGATATAAAAAATGTTTTGAATTGAAAATAATTAGATTCTTTTATTAAAGTACCCAATTAACATGGTAAATATTTTAAATATATTTTTTTGTTTACTCCAATTCAACGACTAATTTTTTAATTAATTTTAAACAAGTTTATGATGTATGTCAACTCTTACTTCATTATTTTTTTTTTCTGGAATAAATGAATAACAAAAATATTTATTAAAAATTATCACTACATACTTGAATGAGCATAGTTCAATTAAAAATAAAGGTAAATAGCAATAATAATAATAATAATAATAATAATAATAATAATAATAATAATAATAATAATAATAATAATAATAATAATAATAATAATAGAGATGGTAATAATCATATAATAATAATTGTAGTAGTAGTACTAGTAACTAGTAATAATAAATATATAGGAATAATAAGCCCCACTCGTTGATTTTATGCATATAATATTATGAGTTATATTTTCACTTACTGCTAATAATTATCATCTTAAAATAAAGTGAAAGCACAAATAAATTATAGGAAAAAGTAGACAAAATTGGTGACAAAAAATTTGATACAATTGATAGGAAGATTTAGTTATAGTAACGAAATTTAGTATTTTCCCTATTAAACAACTTACCATAGCTGATTAATTATAAATTGGACGAAATATCATCTATATCTATACTTATATAATAAGTCATCATATTTACTATATTTAGTAGTAAGAAAAGTTAACATTAATTAATGCATCATATTTTTAGGTTGGTGTTTTATTTACTTATTTGATTTATTTTTTTTCCCCATTACATCGGTTTAATAAAAAATTGTACATAAAATCTAAAAATAAAGGCATATTCGATCACTGATAAAAGATTTGATCGGTCAAAGTTATATTTTTATTTTACATCACCCATAAATAAAGCAGATATAAGCCTAAATTAAAGGGTTTAGTTGTATATTGATTTACTTAAATACATATCATTTTTAAATTTTGTATATATCAAAATTCCTTCTTATCTTTTTATCATCGATCGTATCTAATTGTATAAAAATCTGTTCAGATTTGTTCCCTAGATGTAATCCGGTTTCCGTATAATGAGATTTTTTCATAAAAATATTAACCGCTATTGTATCTATCGATCGAATATAAATTACAAATCTCAAAATATTGAGCCATCGTCTTCGTCCCTGTCAACCTCCTGCGAAAAAAAAAATCCCCAATTAGTCTTATATTCAAAACAATGAATCGAGGCTTTGACTTAATGAAACAAGTTAATAGCTCTAATAGGCCTATGCTGAAGGCTCGAATTGTAAAAATATTTTTTCAAGACCGGGGCAACACATACAAATCATATCTCGAGTTGGTTCTTCATGATAAAACTGTAAGCCAAATTATTTTTACTTCTTTTTTTTTTAAGTTTCGAACTATGAAACGTATATTTTCTACTTTTTTAATTTTATTTTTTAAATTTAAATTTTGGCTTATTTCTTTTTTATCGTGTATGTATTCAGATATTTAAATTATTTATATTAGAAAAAAATATTGATTACATTTTTGTACATGTTTAGGGAAATCGCATTGCGGCATGGCTACGGACAATCAAATTGGCTGCATTTAGAGAAAGGAATTTTGAGGAGAGCATGATCATCTGTATCAAGAATTACCAAGTCGACAACAATCTAGGAGAGTATCGTTCGACATCCGGTGATTTTAAGATCATGCTACACGGGAGTAATTATATGTTGTTGTTTCGCGTGTAACTTATAGAAGGGGTTCAAGATATTAGTTTGTGAGGATGACGAGTTGCCCAATAATCAAACTTATGATGTTGTGTACAAGTAGGTATTTCATAATATATGATTATTTCTTTTTTCGAATACTATTTTTTTTGGTACAATTTTTCAGCGTAATAAAATTTTTTATTGAATATTGCATCTTATAATATAATATTCTCCAAATAAATATATCTCGTGTCTCGCACATGTCACGTATTATATGTGTCCGTATATTTTTCTTTATTCATTTATATAATTATGAGGCTGGATAAATAGCCTTAAAATTGTGCACCCCGTACATCGCACGGGCTCTGTACTAGTATATATTAAAAGCCAACCTATTTACCAAAAATAGTAGCAAGAAAAGTCAACACACATTTAATGCAAACCTTATTTGGAAATTTTTTATTATCTATACTTATATAAAAAGTCATCATATTTACTAAATTTAGTAACAAAAAATAGGCCAGCATTTAATGCTATCTATAAATAGAAGTTTATTATTTTTTATTTTTTTCTTTAAAAATCATACAATTTAATTTATAAATACGCTTTAATATAGTCATATAAATCATGCAATTTAATTTATAAAAATCATACAATTTAATTTTTTCTTTAAAAATACGCTTTAATATATATATATATATATATATATATATATATATATATATATATATAAATATGGCACATTTTGTAATAAATTTGAATGAAATGTGTTACTTAAATATCTAAACAATTCGAAAACTTAAATGTTTAAATTAATTGATAAACAATTTATAGATCTCTATTTTATTTAAATATGTAATTTTATTTAAAATAAATTTAAATATAGCAAAATTTATTTAGAAAATCGTATCGATCATACCAGTTCAACCAACTGGTGTTGACGGATTCAATAGCAAATATTTTATTCAAGTGAACTAGACCGATTATAAACTGGTTCTCGGTCCATCTGGTCGGACTGTGTCCAACACGATTTAATTTTAAAACGATGGGTAATCTTGATTAATTTATTTTATATTTAATTTATAACACAATTGTAATATTGTTTTCCCGTGCATCGCTCGGGCCACTCACTAGTATCCATTATTCATAGAATTTTAATCAAATTATGTTTATATATTAAGTTCAATCACAACCATTAATATTATTTAATTTAAGGGATAAGATGAGTTCTTAGTTCTTACACTAGGGAGAAGTTCTCATTTGAACTCTTTCCTAAATTTATTTAGCCTAAACTATAAAATTTTACAAAATAGACCTCTTCATAAGTCCACAAATTATTTACTTCTTCAGAAATTAATTGAGAATTTTTATTTGTTGTAATCGAACCAAAACTATAAATGACATGGATATAAATCGAGTTTTTAGAAACGAGGAAGAACAAAAAAGTTTGTAAGATTGCGAATTTCCAATTGGATAGAAATTATATTTCTTACAAGATTATAGAAAAAAAAAATATTTATAAAATACGAGATAAAAAATACAATGACAAATCTTGTTTTTAAATAAATAAATAAATAAATATTAATTAATAAATTTGAAAATTAAAATCTATTGGGTAATTGAATTTAATTTATTTTTATTGTAAAATGTGTTTTTTTATTTATATTAGTGTTAGTTGAATGCTACATGGAAAAGGAAATATTTGCTATGAATATATTTTTTTTTCATTTTAAATTCAATGAAAAATGTTGAATTTTGTAAAATTAGAAACATATAACTGTTTAATCAAATAACATTCTAATAAATTTCATAAAAATAGATTGATCAACACTACTACACACAAAATCAAATAATAAATTCATTAGCATTAGAAAAGGAAATATATAGAAATGAAATTGAACCCATCTTAATTCCCCAAAAAAACAAATGATTAATAGAATGAAAAATAAGTAATTATTTAATCGATAGTGTTCTCACTTGACCTCGTCAGTGACTAGTATGAAAAATAAGAAAATTTAATAAGGTATTTACGGGCCAATATTTGGGCATAAAAAATTTGGACTAAATTGGGCCAACATTTGGGCTTAATTTTCTTGACTCAGTTGGGCCAATACTTCGACCCAATAAATTTATTTTCCAATCAAAAAACATTATCTGTAATGACAATTACCCTAAACCGAGTTAAGAAATCACTTTCCCTGCAAACATAAGGACAAAAAACTCGGAGAGTACCAAATTGCAGAGTTACCAATTTGATTTCGGGCCCCCGCGTTTTCCTCTTCGGGCCAGTATTGCTCACCTCCGTTTCATAGAGAAACTCAATTGCGGTAAACAAAAAGCTGCTGTTTTCTTGATTTTACACCCATCTTCTTGATTTTACTCGGTTCTTGACGGGTTGTCCCTCTAATTTAGTGCGAGCCCATTAAATTTCACCAACTTTTTTGGGCATTTGAAGCAAGAATCGGAACACTTTGTGCATAATGAACGCCCCCATCATCGGTAATGTTGTTTTGCTTTTCGGTTTTTTGGGTTCGGTTGATACTTATCTACATGTGCTGCTTTTGTATTTGGAAAGTAAAACATAGTACTTTTTTGGGTTGGGTTTTTGCAGACCCACTACAAGGAGATTTTCCTGAAGTAATTGAAGAGTATTTGGAGCATGGAATAATGAAATGCATTGCCTTTAACAGGCGAGGAACCCTGCTTGCTGGTATGTTGTTGTTGCAGTGATTATTTTCGTGTAATTATGAATTCCTTGGTTTAGTGTACTTAAAATGGAAATTTCACATATTATAAATGCACAGGTTTTCATTAACTATTGAACTTCCTATCGGTTTTGGGATGACAGTTTGTCCTGATCTATGTCATGATTCTTACTTATTGCTTGTGCTTATAGTTTCATCCTCTCTATATTCTTGGGTTCTGAATGAAGCCCCTTTGATTTAATTTCCCAGAACTGTTGAGAGTATTTAGCCGTGGCTTTTTGATTTCATGTAGTTGTTATGTACTTATGTTAATTCCTCGTCCTATGAAAATATGGAAATTAGCACATTTTTCGGTTATTAAAATATCATATGGTTCCCGACAGTGCTTACAACTTTTTCTTTCCTCACTTAGTGTGTCAATCCCTAACATGGTCCACTATTGACTATTATCACTGAATAAGCTAAATCATAGCTAAACAAGTCATGTCTTTCCATTTTTTTTTGTTTTTTCTTTCTGCTTGGATTATTAATAACCCATAAACCTCCGTTAGTGTTTGATTTATGAGTAAGCACTGCCATCTTTGTTCAATCTTTATATACCCCGTACTTAGATGGATCTCTAATCTTCATTTAACATGTTACAAAATTCCTTTCAGCTGGGTGCTCTGATGGAAGCTGTGTTGTATGGGATTTCGAAACCAGAGGCATCGCCAAAGTATTGAAGGACAAGGACTTAATTGCCGCCATAACTAGCGTTTGCTGGTCCAAGTATGGACACTGCATACTCGTGTCAGCTGCAGACAAGTCCTTGACTCTATGGGATGTTGTCAAAGGAGAGAAAATAGCTCGAACAACAATACAACAAATGCCTCTCCAGGCTCGTCTCCATCCCGGTTCCTCCACACCATCTATCTGCTTGGCTTGTCCTTTCTCTTCAGCCCCTTTGATCGTTGACTTGCGTACATCGATCTCTACAGTGCTCCCCGTCTCACTATCAGACACAGGAATTGGCTATGGCAATGTTAATGGCAATGGTAATGGTAATGGTGCCCTTTCATCACGTAACAAGTTTTCGGATGGATCCCCTGCTTTTTCGCCTACGGCAGCGTGCTTTAACAAGCGTGGGGACTTGGTTTATGTGGGGAATTTTAAAGGAGAGATACTTATTGTAGACCACAACAGCATGAAGATACGTGCTTTTGTGCCCATTGCAGGGAGTGGAGTGATTAAAAACATCTCGTTCAGCAGGAATGGTCAGTATCTCCTGACGAATTCAAACGACAGAACTATTAGAATTTATGAAAATCTTTTACCCGTCAAAGGCGGGCTTCAAGCCCTGGATGAACTAAGCAAACAACTTGTCGAGCAAGATGAAATCGAGAAGCTGAAGGGTGTCGGGTCGAGGTGCCTGGCTCTGTTTCGTGAGTTTCAAGACTCGGTCACAAGAGTGCACTGGAAAGCCCCGTGCTTTAGTGGCGATGGTGAGTGGGTCGTTGGAGGTTCTGCAAACAAAGGAGAGCACAAGATGTACATATGGGACAGGGCAGGGCATCTCGTGAAAATTCTCGAGGGTCCAAAAGAAGCATTGATAGATCTGGCGTGGCATCCCATTCACCCTATTGTTGTTTCTGTCTCCCTGACGGGCTTGGTTTATATTTGGGCCAAGGACTACACTGAGAATTGGAGCGCTTTTGCCCCGGATTTCAAGGAGCTCGAGGAAAATGAGGAATATGTGGAGCGAGAAGATGAGTTCGATTTAGTGCCTGAAACAGAAAAAGTGAGTAAATGATGGATGTTAAGTTAAAACCTGGCGTTGTTTCCTTTTTTTTTTTTCCTTTCCCCCCTTTTATTTCTATCTAAACAATATACATTTTTTTTTTTTTGGTTACGATTCCAGGTAAAAGATTCTGATATTAATGAAGATGAAGAGATTGATATTGTGACAGTGGAGAAAGATTCCGTTTTTAGTGATTCGGACATGTCACAAGACGAAATACGCTTCTTGTCTGCTGACCCATGTGCTGATGTTGTTGAGCAGCAGGACAGACATGTTGTACGTATTTCGAAGCAACGGGATGACAGCCGGTCTGTATCTCCTTTTTCAGAGGAGGCGGGGCAGAATGGTCATCTAACAAACAATGAATCCAGTCCCCTTGAAGGTAATATCTTCCTGTACAATCAGTTCTATTGAGAAAAATGAATGTTTGAGTTCAATGCTGAATGCAATTGTTAATGTTTTGCGGATATCTTTGAAAATATTGGTGAATATCTATGTTTTCGTTGTCCAGGTGGAGGATTTGAGGCAGATAGCCAAAATAGTTGTGTTCGTAACCTGTAGAGTTGTAGAAGAGTCCTCTAAAGATCAATACTAACTATTTTAAAGAAATCGCATGATCACACTAGTAATTTGGAAGTATATAAATCAACGATCTTTTGGTATATGGTGCATGCTGCTTTTTGTTGTGTCAGTTTTAATATTCAAATCTTTGTTCTTAATCACACTGGTGGCAAACAGGCATATCCAAATTCATATAACTATTTGAGAATGGTACAGAATAAAAAATGTAAGTTCAGGAAAAAATTTCATTGGGTCCAGCTCTATAACTTTACTTACGTGGTTGAACAAAGCATGTTTGATTGTTAGTTTCTGTAATCTTCCACGTATACCCATATACCTAATGAAATTAACGATTTCTGCTGCAGATGACATGGGAGAAACACATCCAAAGAGAAAGAGGAAGCCTTCTGAGAAAGTAGTGGAATTTGATGCAGATTTCGATGAAAAGTCAATATCAAAAAACAAAGCACCAGTGAGTTTCTGTAAACTGTTAATAATATAGACAAAGTATTAACACGATTTAGAAATATTTATGTCAGCAAGTCTAGCAATAGCTGGTGACGAATCTTATTTTCAATTTGATAAATCTCAAGTGCTTCTCTTCCTATTTTTTCTTATAGGCTTCTAGATTTAGGAACCTGTAAGGATAGGTGCTTTCTAAAGTAAATGTATTTTGATTGGGTAACTTGCTTCAACAGGGAAATGCATGATGAGGATACCCCCAGCAAGAAAAAAGAACTGGAGTGAACAATTAGTGGTTTACGCAAGCAATCACATAAAGTTCGATTGTGCATCAACAATTTTCATGAGTGGATGATGATGAATGCTACTGATAGGTGGTTCGTGCGATGATTCAATAAAGCTCTTTGACTTGCTGGAACTTTTGCAAAGAACAGCATATAACAGGCCAGACAATTCAACCTGTCATCCAAGTTGTACCTAGGATGGTGTTTTCTGAAGTGGTCTTTTAGAATGTTCATTCTTGTACATTTACTAGGACCTGAACTATGAATGATTTATGTTACATTTGGTGGTTGGATAACTCTTGCATTTAAGGATTAACTGGATAATATTGCAACATATGTATTATACTGGTGATTTCTATAGAAGAGCTGCCCCTTTTTTTTAAAAAAAAAATAAAATAATAATAATAATAATAATAATAATATTTTTGTTTTATTTATCAAATTTTCAAGGCGAAAAGGATAATAACTTCCCTGTTTTCATGGTTGTTTTGGCTAGTCTTTTATTTTATATTATATTGTTATTTGCTGGTAGTTGAAAGTACAGTAGCTCTCACTTTAATTCCCTCTAAGAGCAGTTTATATTACTGGACTTAAGTTGTGGTTAATACAGATATTGTTCGTTTGAGACCTTCGTAAACTCAATTTACTTTTTGTTCTCACACATACGAATTTGCGGGTGCAGTGTTTAGGGTTTATATTGATGCCCTGCCGTGCTTCTGATTATAGGTTAGCCATAAAAACAGAGAACATCTAAAGCTATTTGGTAAAACCAGGAAAGAGGGAAATCACATTTTCTTATCAGCTTTTATTGCTTTTGGAACTTTAAGAATGACCAGGAACATATAAGCAATATGGCCTCAAATTTCTCATGCAACTTAAAGTTAAATTATATATACAATGCAAATGGTAATTTCACGTTCGTAGGGAATCTAGTTTTTCTCCTTTCCAGATGCAAACTTGTAGGTGACATATGCCGTGAGAGCCACGACAACAAGCATTGCCACCCCCATATTCACCAGCAATTGCCTTTCTTCATTGAGCTCGGTAAGTCCTTTCACTGCTTTTCTATATTTCTCCTTTGTGATGATAGCTCCATGTAATTCTTTTTCACTTTTTGTTTTCTCAGGGATGCCCTTCTTGACAGTCCCACCCTCGGGTAATTCTTTCGTCTTCATTTCCTGTGACAAAATATTCTTTCCTTTGGACTTGCCCGTTTCTTTCTCAGCATCACGTGAAACTGAAACTCCCGTATTTCTGAGCTGGGTAACACTCGAGTCCCTTTGACCACCTCTCGAGTCACGTTCCCTTTTGTTGTAGTCATCTGTTGCCTCACGAGATTCTGTACTCTTCTCTTCTGCTGATTGAAAAGCCTTATCTTGGCTGTTTTGAAGCGAGGTTTTGAGTTCTGTACTTGGATTGGTCGATATCTTCTCGTGTTCTTTGCTTCTATCTTCTCGTGGTTTGCTAGTGCTAACTTCTGGTAAAACTTTCTCTTCATCTTTTGCTATAGCAGGGTGTTTTTGGTCGTCGTTGTTGATTTTTGGTATTTTTGGTAAGGGAGAGTCGTGTGGCTTCTCGTCTAATCTTTTCGGAACCGTAATGGCTAAAACCCCTCCTTGGAACTTGGCACGAATGGAGTTCATTACGCCATCTTCCGGAACTTGAAATTCCTCCAGAAAACGGCTCCATTTGTTGCCGCCAACCAAGCGTTCTCCACGAACCCTGATAATATTCTGCCCTTCCGTCGAGACCCTGATTTGCTCCTTCATAAAGCCTGGAGGCCAAAAAAAAAAAAATTAAAAAAAAAATTGATTGACTAGTGAATTTCATTTATTTTTATTTTTTTTCCGAAGATTTTCCATGGCCCCTCTATCATAAAATAAAATCGACAAATTTAGATACCCGGAAGATAGATGTTGAGAATGTGAGACTCGTCATCTTGTTTCCATTCTGAGACGGGTCTGAAGTCTTCGTACACCGGGCGGACCCCACCTGTCCGAGCTCCGCGCCTTGGATTGGATGCGGCACCACCTCTCGGCCTCATTGCCATTATACTAAGAAAAAAAAAAATAATCACAAATTCTGGTATTTGCCTCGAGAGCAAGATTAACGATTGTTATTGCTGATCGAAGGCTCGTTTATAAACACGTGCGTAAAACCGCTGCCCGAGCTTTGAGTATTCACTTGGTTTTTTGTTGGAGTTCCTTGTGGAGAAGGCTATTCCAATATGGTTGCTTGTGAAGATTGTGTTTCTTCTGATTTGGATTTGTGTGTCTTAATGCATGAGGTATCTCTTTTGTTTTTAAATGAGGTAAAAGTTCTTTGTTTAGCCATGTACAACACGTTTTTGTAAGGGATAATGGTGGCTGCAGATTGACCATGAAAATGAGCTGACTACATTTGATTTGTGTTTGTGTTCTTCCTTGGTGGATAAGTTTTGAAAAGGTCTTTTAGTTGTGGCTTTTTTTGCACAAGTCAAGGGTTAAATTACGTGCCTTGTGCTTATTATGGCTTTGTGAATGATAGGATTAACAATTTGCCTACGCATCCTAGGAAAGAAAACGAATTCTTACTCACGTTCAATTTTCATACGCACCTAGACATGGCCAAAACACGGGTAGGATTCGAGCTCAACCCGACCCATCGGGCCGACGGGTTGGATTTCATGGACCATGAACCGGCACGTACCTAGGCCATGCTGGGTTCATGTCCAAGCGGGCCGGGCTGACCCAAATAAAAAAAAATAAATAAAAGCAATGCGTTTTTCACCTCAGCCCGGAGGACCTCAGCTCGGCCTCCTGGCCAGGGCCGACAAAAACAAGGCCCTGACAAAAACAAGGCCCTGAATCAGCCCGATTGAAATCCGAATTGGGTTTGGACTCATGGTCAATGGGTTTTGACCGGACCGGATGGCCCGTGGCCACGTCTATACGCCCCAAAGAATCATGTCCTCTAGAATTGAGGACTAGCTATAGCCTATAGGTAAATCTATTTGGTTATCTCTTATAAAAATTTTATAAAATATAAATTTATCTTCACTTAAAAATTTTAATATTATAGAACTCTAGAGTGTACCAAACTAATTTTATAGATAATAGAAATTGAACTTTGTACTTGAGGAAACAACAATTCGAACTTTTGTGAGAATTTTTGTACAATTTTGAAGCATTGACCGCTCACTAAGAATTTAGAGATGAAGATAAAATTGTTATTAAACTAGAGAGAAATAAAGATAACAGAGAGAATATATTATCTTGGCATATATTTATTCCAAATAAAACTCCTATTTATAGAAAAAATTCTTATGACATAATCGTAATAATACAATTACATTAACGGCAACATAGTCATTCACACTCATTATTTTATAATAAAATTATTGGTGTTGGTTGAACCACCTACCACCTGTATATTTATAACACTCTCCCTTGAAAGACTATTTTGTAAACATCTTTTAACTAATTTGAATAAAGCTCAATCTGAACATTTTGAAGTGTATCTTATGGCTATCAGGTAATGTTGTTTCATCATGTCAGGAAGAACTTGGTTGGACAAAACCTGATTATTTTGGAATCATAACATTTTTCCCTCAAGAAAACTCGGTGGGACAAACCCTGAGTATTGTGGAAGCACAACAGTGCTCCCCCTCTAATAGATCATCTTTAGTGGAGTGTCAATGTGCTGCCTCGTTAAAACTTTGTCAAGAAAAACTTGATCAAAGGAAAAAGAGTACAACTACTCCAGTGTCTTCTTATAATCATGAGGAGTTGTATCAATTATCCAGTAGTCATCATTATACCATGAATATGCCTCATGAAAACTTTATTAGGAAATACCCAGTGGGACAAAAAATCCTAATGAAGGAAAAATAGTACACTATCCATGTGAATACGTCATCCCTATTGCTTCATTAAAAACCTTACTAGGAAAAATTTAATGGGACAAAATCTTAGCCAAGGAAAAAAAGGGTACAACAATTGGTCTTTAGGGCCAAATCTTTGGGATTATTTTGAGTTCGTATTTCCCTTTGAAAGTAATAGTCTTCCCAGTTTACACATACCAATACAATAAATGCATTTTTCAAAAGTAGATGTGGGAAGGGATTTGGTGAATAGATCTACCAAATTTTCGCTAGATCGTACTTTTTGTACAATAATCTCATCGCTCTTATGAAGCTCGTGTGGGTAAAATAATTGTGGATCAATGTGTTTTGTCATGCTTCCTTTGACATACCCACTATTCATTTGCAAAACACAAGTTGCATTGTCCTCGTAAAGGACAGTGGGGTTTATATCATTTATAATTCCACATGAACCACGAATATGTTGGATTAAAGATCTTAACCACACACATTCTCTTGAAGTCTCGTATAAAGCAATTATCTCTGAGTGGTTTGAAGATGTATTAACCATTACACATTCTCTTCAAGTCTCGTATAAAGCAATTGTCTCTGAGTGGTTTGAAGATGTATTAACCATGGTTTGCTTGACCGACTTCCAAGAGATTGCAGTACCACCACAGAGAAAAACATAACCAGTCTGAGATCTATTTTAAAATTTGGTGGGATGTTTAAACCAAAAACCTTATACAACATTCCACTTCAAATCACACGGCACTTAAAATTTCATAAAATTCTTTCAAAATCTGAAAATCTTAAAAAGTCTCAAATTTTAATAAATTCTAAAATGTCACTTAAAATCTCAAGTTAAATAAGAACTTACCATTCAAGTATAAAAATTAGTGTCAAACAAGAGCTCCAATTATCCAAAATTCACAAGTTTTCACTTTCATGTCTAAAATGACTAATAATAATTGCCCCCAACAAATGTATTCATGTAGCTAATAAAAAATAGCAACATTTAACAATTGGATTATAGTTACAGTTCATAATATCCAGTATATATAATTATGGAATGTGTTGAACTTAAGTGGTAGACTGGTAGGCTCGCATACTTCAAATTTTATTTGTCATAATTCTATGCTTTGGCTTGATATATAATTATGTTTGAGTGTCATGTCAAATTTCAGGTGGACATGGTTATTTCTATAATACATTTATTTTTTTTATTATTAAAACAATCATTATTTATTTCATTCCATACTTTCTTTCACAGTTATTATAATAATTTTTATTTTATTTTATTTTTTTATCTATTACATATCTTTACTAAAATCAATTATATTAATTTATTTTTCAATATTTCTCTCCAATATTCACATAGTACTCATCTCGAAAATTAAGTAGCATGACATTATTCTTTTAAAAAGAATATTTGTTTAAAAACTTAATTGGTATGCTGGCAATCTAATAAAAATAAATAATTAATTATCTAAAATTTAAAAGTACATATAAAGTTATAAAAAAATATATAGTTTGACATCCAAATTCTAAGATTATATAAATGTGTTTAACTATTATGATTAAATAAATATAATTTGATAATTTAATTAAAATAAAATAATTTGGTCATCGTCCCACCACTCGCTGACGCGGATCTACGAGGTATGTGTAACTATTACGATTAAAAAAATATAGTTTGACAATTTAATTAGTAGGAAATTTATTATAAGTTTAAAAAAATTTAAAAGCTATTTATTTTTTTTATATATGTTTATGAATTCAACACCCATAATACAAACTAGTAATCAAATATTGACATTGAACTTTTAATTAACTAATTTGCCAAACAAATTTGGTTATTCTTTTTTTTTTT